AATTCTATTTAAGGGTTGTAATTAGGAAGGAAGAAGGAAAGCTATAGAGGTAGCATATGGAAGAAAACATGGGAGGATTGATTATTTCTTTGACATATCTTCTTGTGGAGTACCTTAAGCATGTATAGGTTTTAAACTACCAACTAATTTGCGCTCACATATTAACATTAATAGGAATATGGTGACATAAACAAAGCAAATCTATAATTACCATCCATCTCCAGTGGAGCCAATTCCGACTTGTTTTTTTAAACATCCTTAATACTGATTATTTTCTTCCTGATTAAACCTATACATAAAATTTTTTCAGTTTTATGGAGATTCTCAAGTTCCTTATTATGAAACCCTGAATGCATGAAATTATATGCTTTATTTCTCTCATTTTACACCTATTTATTTGTTAATATTTTTTGTGTTTATGACATATGATGTTTTAATGTCTTGGTTAAAAACAGTTCTTGAAGTTCATGAATGTAGCAGCTTGATAAAAACTGTGAAGATGGCTTTGTGTACAATATTGTTAGGACAGCATGTCCTGGATGTACATATCATAACTATGTATTTTGAAAAATTTCTTACAGGCAAAATGTCAGCATTATAAGAAAAAAGGAATGGAACAAGAAGAGACTATTGCTTCTTTGCAAAAGGATATCTATAGATTAACAAAGGAGGAGGAAGAACGCATTGTCACTCAAAACAGAGTGTTTGCTTATCTCTGCAAAAGAGTTCCTCATACCATCTCAGATAAACAGTAATGTTTGCTAGATTTTATCTGGGGAGTGATTGTATCTCTTATAAACTCAAGGAGTCTTCCTCCCCCTTTTCTCTGCTTTTTTTTCCCACCTCACATCATTAACTTGTTGATAAAACTGGTCAGATGTCCTGGAGAAGTACATACAAGATTTGTCTGTTTGCTTCCTTATTATGTCCTTTAATTTATTCTTCTATCCTATATTTCCTCTAAACTGCAAGTTAGTGCTAAATTTAGATGCATGTGTTTTTGACAAAATACTTCTTAAGTGGTAATGTGTGCTTCTAATTGTAATATATCAGGAGGCACATGATGCCTAGTTGACTTACTCTCTTAGGGATGTTAAGATTGTTCAGGAGTTTAAATAGTAAAAACGTGATCCTTTCACTATAAAATTCCCCATCACCCTTTTATCTAATTGTTTCACTCACTGATGATCATGCAAAGTGATGATTTTTCAATTCTGCTAGTTTTTTTTTTGCTGGCAATCATCCATAAATAAGAACCTTTCCTATTGACTAGGAGCTATTTGGTTGCCTATGTAGTTTGTTACTGGGAAGGTTGGATCAATGTCAGTTCTTTAATTTTAATTCCCACTTTTTAGAATAGTAAGAAGTTGATGTTCCAGTGATCTCCAATGATAAGCAATAAGATTTTTTGTTTGTGACTATCTCTATTTTTCAAATGTTGTTAATAATCCATTGGGTTTTAATGATCATTGGGTTTTACTTGTCTTTGGTTAGTATTATATCCTTAAACTTAACTCCATTAATCTTTGTTAGATTTTTTTGCTTTTGGACAGAGGATACATACTGTACATTTTTTTTTTTACCTTAGGGCTCTTTTGATGAATAGAATCAGATATTTGTTAAAGTTAACACTAAACATTTGTAATTAAGTAAATTAAAATTAAAATTAATTAATTAGACATTTCCCAAAGGAGCTCTGGCTTCTCTTAGTCAGGAATGTTTTTTCAAAACCACAGTTTGGGTGTTGGGGTTGCTTATCATTCTTATGTTGTCATTGATTTTAGGAGTTTTTAGTGGAGTATACTAGGATCTATATATATTTCTGGGAAAAAAATAAAATCCTTATTAATATCGTTCTAGCTGAAGTTAACATTGCAGGATTTTTATTTAAACATTTGTAACTCTTTTACACTAGAAAATCCTTGCTTCTAAGAACAATATCATACATTCATTTGCTTTATTCTATAATATATACAAATAGTTTCAAAATAATACCAGAATTATTACTATCAGTAAGCCTACTGAATGAAATTTAAATTTCTTTGCAGTTATCTTTAATGTTAATATATACCACTAGGATGCAGTTAAAATACAGTGTTCTGAAATATCTTGAAACATTTCTTTTCTCTGTGTGTGTCACCAAATTAATATACAGTTAGGTTTATTCGTTTCCATTTGTTTTCAGTTTTTAGGGATTGCTTTTTTATTTTACTTTTGAATATGCAGGACATTTAGATGATTCCAAACTCAAAACTATACTTATATTCAGAGAAGTTTTGTTTTCACCTGTCCCCTTAACCCTATTCCTTACCTCTTCCATGGGTAATTTTAAATGTTTAGCTTTATAATACTAAATAAATAAATAATACTAAATTGTCCATAAAAAAGATACATATAATACTAAAATAAAGTAAATAAAAATTTGTTTTTAGTAAGTACAAACAGAATAGATATTATAGTCACATTTCCTCTTTTTTGTATGAAAGGTAGGACCTTGTTTGTTTTAATAGTACAAACTAACTACATTTTAACTAGTCTTATGTATTTACATAATAGGTTTGAGGAGTTTTACTAAGTATTTATTTTACTATAAAAATGAATGGGGTCATGTAAGTTAAAACTATAGATTGTTTTGATAATTGAGAGATAACACACATAGGGAGTCTTCATCCTTTTGTAGGAAGAACAAGAAAAAAAATAAAAATAGTTAAAATAACTTTTAGGTCTGAACAAATTAAAAAAGAGAGAAGCAAAGAAAAATAGGGATAAAGAAAAAAAGAAGAGACATAATTACAATCAGAGAGAGAGGGTAGTAAGAGAGATGGAAGGAAAATGAAAACACACAAAAAACAGCCAATTTGAGTGAGTGTGAGGGCAAGAGAGGAACATTGAGAGAACTAAGTACCAGATGAACTCAAGCTAATTCAGGTGTGAACTTGTCTGATGACCTAGAAATTCTTCATCTCTTTGATTTTTAGTAAATCAAATTTTCAGTTTGAGACACAGAACAAAAATTGTGAATTAACCTTGTTAGAAAGTGGTGAGTTGTAGCCAAAACAGTATTGTCAAAAGTTACAGAGGCATTGGGTTAAGATAATATAGAACATTCACAGATGAGTAAAGCCCTATTTTCTGCATTCATGGACCTGATAGTCTAGTGTGGTAGATAGACAGATACTCAGATAAGTAAACTATAAGACAGATGGTGGTGTGTGCTGTAATGGTAGGGCAAATAGGATACTAAGTGTACATGACAGGAGAGATTAGTTTCCACTGATGAAGATGGGAATGATCAGAAAGGCTTCATGAAGGAGATACCTTGTAAACTAGATTATTAGGAACTATAGAATTTACTAGGCAGAGGTGGGGGAAAGGGTATTTTAGTTAGAGAAGTATGGTGGTAGGAAGACAATATATTTGGGAATAGCAAGTGGTTCAAGTAGTCCAAGAGGTTTGGAGCATTGGGTGCACAAGATGATGGTGTTTTAGGAGACAATATAAAGGGAAAGCTGTGGTGGAATTTTGAGGGACTTAAACTTCATGCTGAAGGTTTGGATTCTAGTTTTTGTGTAGCAGGATAAAAAAATCCCAGGATTTCTGAGTGAAGAAATTAAATCCAGGAACAGAAAAACAAGTTAGTAATCAGTTGTAATAGTCTAGGTGGGAGATAACGAAAGCTTATATTAGGACCAAAGGAAAGGAGAGATGTTACAGATTTCAAGCTAGGTTTGGGGAATAGGAAGGAAAGACGGTGGATTCGTTATGGACATGTGCTTAGACACCTTCTGTCAGCTATGTGGAGATACTAGGCCTGCAGTTAGAAGGGCCAAACTACAGAGAACTTCCAAATTTCAAATAAAGGAAGAAGGAGGCAGAAGAGTTATGTTTTGGTGTCAGGATAACCAAGGAGCAAGAGTGTTTCAGGAAGGGGAAGGTGGAGAGAGCTGCATGCTGCCTCATCAGTCTCTGTTTGCCTTCCCACTGTCTAACTTGCTCAGAATTCCCAAGCTGATACACACTAAGTCTTTATCTAATAAAGTCTAAGACTTTATTGAAGGTAGTATATAACAGTCATTCAGAATGAATGAAGTTTTCTATGAAGGAAAAGATGGAAATGGAATAGTAGCATAAAGGGGAAGTAAGAGGTAAGGAGGCTTGTGAAGGATATAAAGGAAATTAAACTGTATTTGTAGGATAATAAGAAAGGTGGTATGTGTTGGGATGGGGAAAGATCAAAGAGAAAGAATACTCCAGAAAGTTATGATATTAAAAGCACAATTAGTTGAATTTTCTCTGAAGAATGAGATAAGTATCCCAAGATGGGTAAATAGTATAAATTCTTGCTTTAAAGAGAATAACCTGTGAAAATATTTGTTTAATTTTTCTTTGAGGGTTTTAAAAAATTACAAAAGTAATAACATACTTATAAAAATTCAAACTCTAAAAGTGTGTAAAGTAAAATATTATATATCTGCTTAACCCTCCTAGTTCTTACATTCTAGATAAAACCACTTTTAACAGTTTGGTTTGTTTCCTTCCAGTGTTTCACAACAGAAGTGCTGTTGGCATTTTGGGTGGGACAGTTCTTCATTGTGTAGAGCTGTCACGCTCATTGATGAACTTCTAGCATCCCTCCCTACCTAGTCAGTGTGACAAGCAACATTGTCTCCTAGGTTCTGGTATTATACCCCAGTTAAGAACCTGTAGAGTTCTTTTTCGATACATACACAAACTCATAATTCTTTTTTTATAAAATAGAGTAATATGGTATATTAGGCTATGCAACATTAGTTTTTTCCCATATAAATTCTCATTAGAACTTGCAAATTAACATTATTTCTTTTAATGCTTTATTATTTTCTGTAGTATGGATGTGTTGTTATTTATTTAACTCTTCCCTTGTTGAAGACCATTTAGATTTGGATTTTTTACTCTTACAAAAAAATGGTAAAATGAACAACTTTATTCATCTTGAGTTACAACCTTGGGCAAATATTTCTGTCGGAGCAGTTGCTAGAAAGGTTGGGGGTGGCGACAAGGAAAATATGTATTCAGTATATTGACATATGTATGTGGCTGTTTTTAAATCAATGCTTTGAAGTTAATATAAAATGTATGACTTACTATATTACTTGCATTTAGCAAAAATCACTTAAATTTTTTATGAACTCGCTAGAGAACCTGTATATTTTTCACTGTAACATGAAATAACGTAGAGAGAATAATAAATGCTCCAATACCACATTTTGAAAATAATTCAGTTTATCTTGTTTTCTAGGTTGCTTTGCCTAATTGATTACTATGAATCTAAAATTAGAAGATTTCATAAACGAAGGTAGGACTATTCCCTTATTATAATTTTTAAAATTATTATCTAGTCATGAATCACACCAAAAGTTTTTTTGGCTTTTGAAAAAATTTTTATATGCATTTGTATTTTTTATACAGAATACAGATTTTGAACACTTTTATTGTTTATATTAAAATGTATTGTTGCATTTATATTAAAACATATCTATTTAATAATCACCAAAGCATTGGTCAGAGAGGAAATAGTATTTACCTTTTATTTTGTTGACATATGGTAATTTGTTTTACTGATGTCATCTAGCTACTGGATAGTTACTGAGTATATCCACAAAATGAGCAGGACTAGAATAGCTGCGCACCAGAATATAACCTAATTAGTATGCAGATTTATACAATTAAAAATAAAGACATAGTGAAAAATTAAGCATATATCGTAAAAAACACACCTGTCACCTCTGATTAAAAAAGTAAGGGTAAAGATTAAAATACGGTCTTTGACTAACCTAAAATAGTTGAAGGCTATCTAAGGCCAAATAATCTAAAGTACTTTTAATATAAGGTCATTAAAACAGTAGCTATTCGGTTTCATTGTTTGTAGATGGAACAGTTCAACAAAGAAATATTTGAGCACCTACCTTTGCCATCTTCTGTTTTAGGAACTGAGGACACCATAACAATAAAGTGCACAAATTCTCTATTTTTATCAAGTGTACATTATAGTATTCTTATCCCTAGAATAATGGCTTTCCAGAAACTCAGCAAGACCAGTGGCAGAGCTGGTTGCTGATTCCTTCTGGCACCTTGGGGAATCTTAAAAAAAGAAAGCAGGATGGAGGGAGGAAGGGAAATCAAAAGAACAACTAATGATAGAGCAACTCCTTGCTTCACTCTATTCAGAGAGTAGCATTATATCAAGTAACTTCAGAGACCTGAGTTCTGTGTGAAACTCTTAGATAGAGGCATGGTGTTAGAATCTGCAATGATAGGACAGTTTGGGATGTGGTCCTTCTAGGAATTTACAGTCTGGTAGGGGAGGTCAAATGTAAACATGTTAATACTTAAGAAAGATGAATACAAGACTTAAAAAAACCCACTAATATACATAATGTCACAATAGAGTAATTACTAAAAAATTGTACATACAGTACATAATAAAAGGAATTTAGAACAGGAACAAAGTTCTGGATGGAGAGACCAGGGAAGCCTTTGAAAATAGATGGGTGTTGTGTTTGAGCTTGAGGGTAGCCATTTAAGACTGCTTGGATGCTTTGAGCAAAAGTGCATAGATATAAAAGTGTAGACTTTTTTATTGCTCTGTAATTAGCCAGTTTGGAGTTCAAGGCATTTTTTGGTATATCCAGATAGAGTAACCATTGGAGAGCAGTTGTTTACAAGCTGGACCAAGAGTAAACTGTAAATGAACTAGAAGACATCATTTGCCTTGGAAAGAAAGAAAGCACTTTTTTATTTAATACAGAAAAACTAGATGATGGGGTTATAGGGTCCTCAAAAGAAATAGACCCAATAGGATGTAAATTTATATATAGAGAGATTTATTTTAAGGGAATCATGCCACTGTGAGGCTGTTAAGTCTGAAAACTGTGAGGCAGGTCTGCAGGCTAGAGACCACAAGAAGAATCCATGTTGTAGTGGTGAGGCTGGAGGTGGTCTGAAGGCAGAATACCTTCCTTGGGGGATCCCAGTTGTTGCTCTTAAAGCCTTTACCTATTTGCCTGAGGCTCACCCACATTTTGAAGGGAAATTTGCTTTATGCATGATCTGTTGATTTAAATGTTAATCATGTCTAAAAAGTACCTCACAGCAGTATCTAGACTAGTGTTTGACCAAACAACTGGGCATCATAGTCTAGCCAACTTGACGCTAAAATGAGCAATCACAGTAAGAGTAAAGAGAAGGAAAATTAATACGGCTTGAGTGGTTGCAAATTCTTTTGCTCATAGACTAATGTAAATAATGAAAATGAGTAAAGTGGGTTAGGTGAGGACTATGGCAAATTGGAGTGCTGTGCACTATGTTACGGGGGCAGTTACTGCACACTCCAGGCAGCTGATGCCATGCAGCAATGTGAGCCCAGGGTGGCTAGTCTGGTTTTTTGAGAGAAGCTAGAAGATTAGATTTTTTTTTTATTGAGGTATCATTGATATACAATCTTATAAAGGTTTCACATCAGCAACATTGTGGTTTCAACATTCACCCACATAATCAAGTCCCCCACCGCATTGCAGTCACTGTCCATCAGTAGTAAGATGCTATAGAGTCATTACTTGTCTTCTCAGTGCTGTACTGCCTTCCCTGTGATCTACCTATATTGTGTGTGCTAATTATAATGCCCCTTAATCCCCTTCTCCCTCTCTTTCCACCCACCCTCTTTCCACCAACCCCTTCTCTTTGGGGACTGCTAGTCCTAGAAGGTTAGATTTATAAATGAAATTGGAAGATTTTTAGCATTCACAGTGAAATAAATGATTTTTAAAATATTATATGGTCCAAACTGAATACCATTTGCAACCTTTGGGCTATGTCTTCAGTAAACTCCAATCTAGATTCAGGGCTTGGCAAGCTTTTTCTGTAAAAGGCTGACAGTATATATTGTAGGCACTTTATGCTGTATAGTCTCTTGCAACTATTCAGCTGTGTTGTAGCATGAAATCAGCCATAGACAATACATAAATGAATTGACAGTCTGTGTTCTATAAAACTTAACTACAAAACCCCACAGCCTGCTAGATGTAGCCCACAGGCAGCAGTTTGCTGACTGCTGATGTAGATAATGAAGAGAGAGTTTGGGATTTTTAGTGAAAGTAGAGAAGATTTAGCATCATTGAAATCTTTCATGTGAAGTATGGTGTGAGAAGTTGCTTTTGAAGTTGTGCAAACTGGGGATCTCTGACTAAAAATGATGAAGGAATTAAAGCCTTTGGTGAGGTGGTGGTGGTGAATTTTGTTGTCATGAATTTGTTGTAAAAATCGGGTGGAGGAATGAGAAGCTTGGGTGAAAGGAATTACTGTTTCATTTAATCCTGCTGTTATGAGTTTAGCTGAAGTGAAATACTTTGGCCTATACAAATTTTTCTCAGGTCAGGTATTTGGATTGAATGTCTCATTAAGGGAGATGGCGATAGGAAGATAGGAGTTGCATCATAAACAGTCTTCTTTACTGATGGTAAAAATTAAAAGTTGTTTATACTTTGCAGTGATGAAGAATCTGTCTTAAGGAGAGGAGTTTTCAGGGTTCATTGACTGAACAGAATTTATAAACTAGGGTAGTCTCTCCTTTCTAAGAGTGAGTAGGAGAAGGAGGGTATGTACCTACAGAGCTTGGGGAGCAAGAACAAAGGAAGACAGCACATGGGACATGGAGCCCTTGCAGAGGTAGAAACCTTCCGCTTAACATTCACTTTTTAAGGGCAGTAATATCCAAAGTGTTTCTCATCATGAAAGGCAAAAAGTGATATTTGTATACCACACTGGGGTAATCGGATGAAGCTACAGCTGAAAGCAACTGACTATCCCAAAGTCCTGCCCAGCTGCCCTGAGGGCTGAGGGGAATGAGTATCGTGGTACATCTGTAACGCTTTTGCGCAGCACACCTGTGGCACACCAGCTGGGGCTCTACTTCAGGGCACAGGATTGGGAAGGCCTCCAGAGGGACTTGTGGAGGGGAGTCTCTGAATACTGTGCACTGGTATTCCTGTCTGCCTCCACCTGTGAGGAAACAGGGAAAGCAAGGAAGCAGCAATCAAAGCAGTGGAAAGGTGAGTATGAGAGTCAGCTAACTGGAAGTCTTACAAAATTGCAACATGCTACATCTCCAAAAATGAAGAAAAGTAAACTTAAAAAAGGCTCTCAACTGTTACTTTACCTGCTTTTCTTCTCTTGACATAGTGTAATTTATCAATGATTACATGGAATATATTGCAAATTATTTCTATTAGTATTTCCCTAGCTTGGTAGATAGGATTAAAAAGTCAAGGAAATTAACAGGAGTAAAATCTATGAGGCTCAGATTAAGTTTCTTCTGAGATATCAAGAGACATTTGAAAAGTTACACCAGAAAAGATAGTTCTATAATGAATTGGTATTTAAATGAAGCCCCCTTGTCTAATACAATTTTTCTATTTAAATAGAAATTTTTGAAATGGTCTTAGGAAATGGAAGCATGTAGCTTTGAGGTTCACTTCTGATCTCTTGGACATGATTGAATTTGGATTAGGGAAGAAAATAAGACACAGGATTTCTCTAGTTTTATTCTTTCCCTCCATCTCTAAAGAGCACCACCTTCAACACTGGGCTCCTTCTGGGCTTCTGGAGGTCATTGGAGAAAGGGTTGGGGAATTTAGCTCTGGGGTTCCCATGTCCAACTGAGAACTTGGGCATACTGAGAATTGTTTTTTTTTTACCTCAGGAAAAAGACAAAATCTGTCAATGTTAAATAAAGGACTAAAGGGCAGAAAAAGTGAGAATTCTTTACTGAAACCCATTTCCCTTTAGGTCAGCATACATTTAAAATTGTCTTCCTATTCTACACTCCTATGTTAGGTTTCTCTCAAGCATTAAGGTAGCCATAATGGCAGTATTTCAGAGTATTTATAGGAAATTACATGAGTTCATAGGTTTTGAAGCCAGAGAGAATTTTATTTGAATCCCACCATTACTATTTATTATTTGAGTGTCTTGGAGTAAGTTATCTAATTCATCTGGGCACTTCTTCCTTACCTGTTCAATGTGAAATAGTTCGTGTAAAACATTTCTCTTAGTACTTGTATAATAGCTACTCAGTCATCCTTTATCATTACCATCTGCCGTAAAATGGTCATTTGTCCAGCATGTGCTTTTTTTTGTTCTTATTGTTATCATTAATCTACAATTACATGAAGAACATTATGTTTACTAGAGGCCCCGTTCACCAAGTCCCCCCCACAAACCCCATTACAGTCACTGTCCATCAGCGTAGTTAGATGTTTTAGAAGCACTACTTGTCTTCTCTGTGTTGCAAAGCCCTAC